TAAGAAAAAGAATCTTAGAAACAGGCAGACAGAAAAGACACCTATACCTACTGGCAGATGACTTCTGAACAGAAACAATGGAAATAAGTAGACAATGGAAGATCAACTTAGAATTGGAGACTGAGCAAGGCTCTCTTTCAAGAAAATGGACAAAAAATATTTTCATATTTAAAAAAGAAAGTTTATGACTAACAATCCTTTACCAAAAGAACTCTGAAGATGCTATCAGGAAAAGGGAAAATGACCTCCAAAGGCAAGTCTGAGATGGAAAAGGGAATGGTAAAAAAAAATAACAATAATTTAAAATATGTGGCTGATTCTAAACAACCTGAGCTTTAAAAGAATAAGAAGGAGAAGGAGAAGGCGAAAAAGGCGATTAGTGATAGCAATGAGTTCAGAAGGGAAATGACAGAAGGCAAAGACATTTTTTCCTCACAATGGACCATCAGGAAAAGGGAAAATGACCTCCAAAGGCAAGTCTGAGATGGAAAAGGGAATGGTAAAAAAAAAATAACAATAATTTAAAATATGTGGCTGATTCTAAACAACCTGAGCTTTAAAAGAATAAGAAGGAGAAGGAGAAGGCGAAGAAGGCGATTAGTGATAGCAATGAGTTCAGAAGGGAAATGACAGAAGGCAAAGACATTTTTTCCTCACAATGGACCGTCCTGCATACCCACTTTGGAGACCAGTGGTATGGACTATACATACACAGATGTTCAGCTACATCAGACAGCAATGCTGGCTGCAATCATTTCACAGGTCTTCTTAAAAACATAAGCCATTGGGAGGGAGGGAGATGCAAGAGGGAAGAGATACGGGAACATGTGTATATGTGTAACTGATTCACTTTGTTATGAAGCAGAAACTAACACACCATTGTAAAGCAATTATACCCCAATAAAGATGTTAAAAAAAAAAAAAAAAAAAAAAAAAAAAAAAAAAAACCATAAGCCATGCCATAAGGGACTTGTAAGTTTGGGATAAGGGGAAAAGAACCGGGCACTCGAGGCAGAGAAAATAACAAAGGTTCAGGAATGAGATGAGCATGGCACACCCTGTTCTTCAACCAATAAAGTATCTCATATCATCGCACACGTTCTTTTGAAATCTCTAAGACAAAAGCAAAACAAACCAAAAACCTCAAGAAGCAATAACGTGACTAGATCAACAGTGGAAGACATCAGATATTCGTTTTGACCTTGGGCAGGTCACTTCACTCTCTGAAGGCTTTGTAGTATGTAATATCTACCGTTCCTGGTGTCACTAGTATATTTTGATGACAAATGAAAAAATTCAAAAGGGGAATATTATAGGACTGATCTCTTATATATTACTACTAGTCATTGCACTGGCACTGGCGATACAGAACAAAGGAGACAAAGTAAATCAGCAATTAGAAGGCAGTGTGATAGGTCCTGTGACATGAGGTATGCACAGGGTACTGAGAAAACCCAGCAGTAGTGGCAAAAGCACGCTTCACTCTTGCCTTTTCAAACTACTAATGTCCACCTTGGTAGTTGTTCCAGTCATCACAGTGAAATTCAGATCTATGAAAAGAATCATCATCAAGACTTTTGTTATTAGAAGTTTCAAAACAAATTTAACCAAAGTCAATTTTAAAACATCCCGAGAAGGAATCAAATCAATTTCCTTCATACTGATCAAAATTTCACCACAGAAAGCTAGTAGGGACACTTTGGATCCATAAAAATTAGCAAAATTAGAGTTTTTCTAAAACATGAAAACAATTCTTGTTCCATTTAAAAGTACATAAGAGTAATGGTAATATATTCTCTCTATCCACGCTGGAATTATCCAAGTATAATCTAACAGAAGCAAAAAAAAAAAAAACGGAATATTTCAAACACCCATTCTCTTTCTGGACTTACAACTTTACAACCTAACATCAAACACATTTTGCATAAATTAATTCTATGATCTACAACATACGTTTTCTACTTCACTGTGAAGTATTCATTGCCTTTAATCATCGGTTGTTCTGTTGTATATAGCCATTTGAGGCCTATTAATAATGCACACACAAATCCTTCAGCTAAGAAAATACTCCTGAAAAAATACACATAGAATGTTCTCAGAGAAAAGCAATTCTTTCTCGCTCTACTAAATACAGTGGTGGTAAAGAGAATATTTACTACTAATGTTACAGTGCTGCAACATTCTTCTTCTGAACTGTTTAATATGTATATAATATTAACATTTACTTACATATCCTCAATATATATTAGTGACATAGGGAAGGGTAGATATCACATATTCCCAAGGATACCAAATCCATTCACATATGACTAAAATGCTTATAATAACTGCAAATGACAATACAATTCAAAGATTCTTTAATTACCTTATTTGTTTAAATTAAAATATTTTGGGCAGTAATAAAATGTTTTTAATTATGTCCTTAATATTCCAAAAGGCTTACAAGCATTTAATAGTCACACGGATGTAGATTTTCACAACCATTTCTTAAAATGTGTCAATTTAACTGAAAACAACTTCAAACAAATGTTCATTTTGATTACCACACTGGCCTTAATATATTAGCTAACAAGCAGATATGTTCCTTTATTTCACTGATGAGAGGTAAGCAAGAATGGGTAATGACATTTACTACCAACCAGAGAACAGAGAGAGACACGAATGGTGATTTAATAGCCATCACTGGTGATCCCTCTGATAAACACCTATAGCACCTATAAACCAATTTAGCCCTATTTACACACAGCTTTCTACTGTACATTATTTCTTTGGGACTATATTTACCTTTCTTCTTAAGTTCTTTGAGGGGGGAGGCCTTGTCTTAAATACTGCTTCTCTATCCCTTCCAGCTCAAAAACCAAAACTGAGTGCATATGTATTGATAAATTAACAGCCACAGTATAACAGGCTCTTCGCATGGCAATTAGGAGAAAATCAGGATGTGGGTAAAGGAAGCTAAACGGAGCTATAGTTATGCACAATGCAACCAACACCAAGGGACAAGATCATAAAAGTGACTTTGAAATAACATACTCAGAAACAGAGCAAATCAGTTTACTTAGCATAATCATTTTCAGAAGGTACAGCAAAATTTAGCACACTGTTATTGCTTAACTGAACCCCCCCCTTTTTTTTTTGGTCTTACAAGTGATGCTGCATTTTGTACTATTCCCTGATTCAGATTTCTATAATGCTATCTCATGTCTGTATAAAGCACCTTATTCATACAACTGTGGAAAGAGCTATACTATTCAAAATCTAAAAGAACATTAAAACAATGTATTTTTCCACCTTTCCTAGGTTAAAAACACACAGTGTTTTGCTAATAAAAACAAAGGTCATCATCTGTCTTACTTTTCATTCATACTGAATGACACGTTTTTTTAAAGATTTTCTGTTAGAAAAATTCTGTACTACCTTGGCTTTAAAAGCAACTTTAACCCAATTTTGCACCTTTTTCCATCACCTTCCTCAATCTTTCAATCAAAATTATGTATCAATTATATTTTTAAAAACAATTAGGAGGCTTTTAAAAAGTTACAATGTAAACTAAGTTATAATGTAAACTAAGTTATATAAGTTACGGTAACAGCAACCTTACACTATATCTTTACCATTTGAAATGCAAGACACTAGACAAGACGAAAGCATACTCTGAAATCTCTTCCTGGGTCTTCTGCAAGAGTCTCTTACCAAAATTTCTTCTCCCTTCGTATATCAAGTTTCTGTGCTCCCCTACTCTCCAAGATTAAAAAATCTGTTTATACCTCCCTCCAACACTTCAGGGGTGAGTTTGTATGTCTTCTGTCTCATATCTTTTGTTTAAGAACGCCAAAACCCTTCATTATTTTATTTTACCAACCCTGTGAAGGCAGTGATACACCAAGGGCTGGAGGATCAAGGAGTTAACTAGGCAATCAGAAATTGGACAGCCGACCAAAACTTAGCACCTCTCTAAGGGGTACACAAACCCAGTCAGAAAAATCAGCAAAGGCCCTCTTTACAGGTCATGAGAGCTTAAAAAGAAAAAATTATTTTTAAACCCTTTCCCACAAAGGAGCTCGCGCGCACACACACAACTGCACTTTTCAGAATGTGGAAATACAACTGATCTCTGGTTCTTTCGGTTTTCAAGAGTTTAAACACCAGGGACATCTGCATCTAGATAAAAACTCCTGAGGGCAATTTGATCAAAGACACAGAAAATCCTTCCTTCAAAGAAATGCACCTTGTGACACTCCAAGGAGGGGGAGAGGTATTTAAAGTAAAACCTGCCCTGATTTATTACCACCGACTTGAGAAAGAGAAGCAAAAGCCGTTGGCTTCATACAGCTTTTAAACATTTTGCTGTAACCCTGGGGCCACAGAAGCTGATGGTGAAATTCTTCTGCTCATTTCTATAGAAGAGTATCACACAGCAGTAGAAACTCGGGACACACCAACACACACACCCATCTCTACTCCCATTCTCGTCCTTTCCATTCCCGACCTTCCCCCTTTGGTGCCCAAGACCCAAATGTGGGCACAGTGTTATAAAAAGCAAAGTCATGGGGCAATGCAGGCGGGTGGGAGGGCAAAGGACCGAAAGAGCCAGAAAAGCAAGGGAAAAGAGGCAGTCGGCTGGCTTGTCTGTGATCATAAAGCAAACATTCGGGTGGGGATACGGAATGCCGCGTGGAAATAAAGCCATCCGGGATGCCCACTCTGCCATCTCCTTGTGCCTGTCGCCCTCCATCACCCCACCGTATCCCGGAGGACCACCTCCGCGGGGAGGGCGCCACTTACGGTGCCCCCACCCTCACCCTTCAGGGGAAAACAGTGAAATGAGGCTGGAAGGGAGGATGGGGGCTCAGCCGGGGGCGAGGGTCACGCCGGGCGCCAGGTGGACACCCTGCGGCGGGTGGCTGCTCTAGGGCCCCGGGGCGGCCCATGCGGAAGGTGAAGCGGGGGTCCGGGGAGCGTCTGGCCCCGCCGCTCCCGGGGAGGCTCCGGCTACTCACGTTCTCCGTGTCCCGCTCATTCACGGTCGGCAATGGCGTCCGGGCCGACATTTTGTGCGGGCGGCGGGGTCGGGCCGGGGTCTCGCGGGCCGGGCTGCGGGCCCCAGGAGCGAGCGGCAGGGGCTGCGGCCGCGGGCGCGAGGCCGGGGCCGGGCGAGCGGCTCCCACAGGCCGCGGGCGGTGCAACAAGCGGCCCCGGCGGCGGAGCGGGGGGAGAGGACGCGGAGGAAGAGGAGGGGGAGCCGCTTCCCGCGGCGGCGCCGCCGGGGGACGCGAGCCGGGGCGAGGGAGGGCTGCGGGCGAGCACGGTTGCCCGGCGCGGGCCGGGCGCCGAGGCCGGCGGGATGCAGCGCCGAGGCTCGGAGGCGGGGCGGGAGCCGGGGGGGCGGCGTCCGGGCCCCGCTAGGCTCTCCCGGCCATGGCCGAAGGTGAAGCGGCCCTGCTGTCAACCTTCCGTGGAATCATTCGCAGGGACGTCGGAGAAGAGAAGTGCTTCCCGGTCCCCGGTCCCCGGTCCTCGTGTCCTCGTGCCCTCGTGCGCCCGTCGTCGTGTCTGTCCCGGTGTCCCCAGGCCTCCAGTGCCCCGTCCGCGGCCGTGAAATGCGCACCGGGAGGATCGGGTTCGTCATCGTGTCCCCGCCGCCGCCGCCGCCGCAGCCGCCGCAGCCGCCGCGCCTGAGCCGGGAGGAGCGGCCCGAGCCGGCTGCGCGAGGAGCCGCGGGCGCGGCACGCTGCGCCCAGAGGCACTTGGCGGCTGCCGCCGGGTGGGCGGGCGCCAGCCGAGGGGGCCTCTCCATTCATTCCCTCATTAGGGATGCGGGGCCGCCTCCTGCTCCTCCCGCGCTCCCTCGCCCGCCCGTCCCCGTGTTTATTTTTGTTTCTCGCCCCACCCGCGGAGTACGGTCGTCTCAGAGCTTCTGGTGGTTTTTAGTTTGATTCATGTTTGGGTTTTGCCGGGGGGAGGTGACATGGTGCTGATGCAATTGAGTGGTCCTCTTTTTGTCCGTTTCATGCGGGAAGAATGGGTACGGTCCTACCCTGGATCCGACACCGCCTATCTCCTTTCTCAGGACTTTTCCTGTTCTTAAATTCATCCCCTCCTCCCGCGTTTCCCAGCTTTCTCGATTTCTGTCCTCCCCTGAGCCCTCTCCTGGGAGCCGTTGGGTTCAGGGTCACTCTGATAATTGGGCAGAGGGCACAAAAGCCCCTAAAAGCGCCAGCAGCCTCGGAGGCGCTGCTCCAGAACCCTGTGCGAGGCACTCCGGCCAGGCAGCTCGCCTAGGTGCCCGGCACCGGGCGGCCTCCTTGGGAACCGGGTCGGCGGGAGAGGTCGCCAGGCGCCCGCCGCAGCACCCCCAGAGTGGCTGAGCCCCGGGAGTCACGATGTCTCCCCTGGCTGGTCGTCACTTCCTGGGACGCAAGGAAGTGTCACTTAGGCGAGCTTGTTTAGGGAGGGAGGGGAGCAGTCTCTGATTTTGGCCCGGGCCTACCTCCTCCAGGTGGCTTCCTCACCCTTCCACCCACCTGCCACTTCTTACGTCATGCAGACATCCCTCTGTAACGCGTTACGCAGGGCCCATTGGCCCCCAAAAAAGCAATGCTGCTTCTTCCTATCTAATATGAGAGCTTACATTTTGCACTCAGCCTCCAGAACAAAAACCTTACCATATCCCTATTCCTCGTCTTTCCAATATGTCTTTTTCATTTTCTTTCATGAGTAGTCAGGACGATAAAAGGAGCAATAGATAGAAGGGGATAAATTCAATTTTTGAGATACTTCCTTAAGCCTCCAATGGGAATCTTAAGATGATAGGAAATTCCTCCCCTCTCCTGAAGTTCATCCATTTGAAGGAGGAATCCCTGCACCAGATGGTTTTTTTTATCCTAACTCATAAATGTTTTTTCTGAAAACTTAACACTTGACCCTTAAAACATGTTCCAAAAGACCTAAAAATAGCAGATACAAAGATTCTCAGAAAAAATTCTCACCCAGCATACATATCCACTTCCACAACATCATCTATGTATTTGTTTCTCTAGCATTTTATTTGTAGACACTTCCCAATTTCACAAAGCAAGTAAAATTATCACAAGATCCCTTAGGTGTTCATCACCATTCCTCAAACAGAATTCAGGCTTTGGAACTGCGAGGCTGCACACTAAAATGTGGTGTGCAACCCAGGATGCCAAGCTTTTATAGTCCCTCTGCAGAGATCCTGAATCATCAAGCTGTACTGAAGTTGCCAGGGTAGAAGCTTGTACTTTTCTGATCAACTACAGCCATTGTTGCCAATCAACAGTGCAGCCACTCAAAAGTACCTTGTGTTACAATACTACCCCTGTTATCATGAGAGGAAGCAAGCATCGGTGAAAGGGTGTTCAATCCCATTGGAATATGAATCATTCCTTCAACTGGTCGCTTGAATGTTGCTTTTCAATGCCCACTCACCTATTATCCTATGTCTTTATCCTTGTGGTGACCCAGACAAGCATATTTCTTCCCATTTTACAAAATTCCACTCAACTGGCTTATTCAAGATCACAGATGCACCAGGTTAATAGTGTACAGAAAAAAGATAACTGGAATATATGGTACTGTTCAATCTTGCAGTGGTCACAAGATCAGAAGGTTCCCCCGCCCCTTCCCCCGCTCCACCGTGTAAGGTCATTAAACCTCAAAGATAGATGGCTAGTTAGAGACAGAGCTTAAAGGAGTGCCCAGGATTCTGGCAGAGTGGCTTCCGAGATGTTGAAGTATACATTAAAAGTCTTGGGTAAATCCCTTAGCTATATTTGCTACACTGTGCTCACATACTGAAACTTATTGAATATTACATAATAATAGTGAGGGATACTTATTTTTTAAATCAGCCCATAAAGATAGTTTTATAACAGTGGAGCTACATTCAAAGAGAGTTTTTATTGGATGGGTAACTCAAATCCATAATTTTGATTAACGAAATAGACTAGAAACACCTCTGTCCAAACAATGGCATTCAAACAATCCTATTCATACCCACAGTTTTAGGCTTGGTATATAAATTTCACTCTGCTTGGGTTAGAAAAGAGTCATTGTGTCTTTTAAAAGGAATTATTGAGTGCGTACCCCTGTGTGGGCTCTCCTCTCCTTAAAGTGGCATGAGGCAGTACTGTGATTGAATGAAAACTGTTTAGCCATAGTCCTTAATAGTGAGAATGCACGTAAGCAAAAACTTTTGTGTCACTATTATGTAGCTTCTTGTGCCAGTAACTATGAAGAAATGACAAGGAATATTTTGTCTTTGAGTAATGATTTTTAGGATTATTAACTAAATGGGGCATGTTTAATTTAGAGGTTTCTAACCTCTAAGGTGTTAGGGTAATAAAGGTTTCAGAAAAAAAATTGAAGTAATGCGAAAACAAAAGAAAAATAAAGATCTGCGAGGTGCTAAACCCACACTGAAATGTGCTAAATGAGCATGCCTCCCAGCAGCTCTATGGAGCAGAATTCTCTAGAACTACACTGTCATATATAGTAGGTATTAGCTACAGGTGGCTATTGAGCTCTTGACAGCTCTCCAGTGTGACTGAGGAACTGAATTTTTTATTTGATATCATTCTAAATAATTTTCAAACTGACATTTGATTCAGTTATTGAAAATTTTTAAATTATGTTGGGAAAAACTTGGGTACCTGAATCTATCTTTTCAACTATAAAGATGCTGAAATCTAAATACAGATTTAGATAAATTTAGAAAATGTATTATCTGAATTGAGATGTGCTGTAAATATAAAATGCACACTGATTTTTAAACTTAGTAGAGAAAAAAAGGGTGTAACGTACCACTTTAATAAATTTTATATTGATTACATTTCGAAATGCTAATATTTTGACATGCGTTACATAAAATATATTATTAAAATTAATTTCAACTGTTTCTTTTCATTTTTTCAAATGTGAATACTGAAAAACATAAAATTACATATGTGACTTAAATCATATTGGACAGCACTTCTCCATAAAGTAAAAATTGAGAATAAAGAGATTTAATTGCTAAAGAATCAAAGGCCTTGATTAGAAGCTATTAATAATTTGCTCTTTGACTCAACAAACATTTATTAAGTACCACTCCACTCGCTCTGCTCAAAGAAAACATTCTTCACCTAATAGTTAACCAGCAGTTAGCATTATAATATTCTTTTTACAGAGCTAAATGAATGAATTCTTTTACAGAGCTAAATGGTGAATTCATACAAATGTTAAGAGATAGCAGTCATTTATAAACAAATAATTTATCAAATATGACAGATTCAGCAGAATTCATAATAAACCCAGAAAACTGTACATTTCTTATCATGTGCTTTAAATGTATCCAGTGTCTGACAGACTTGGCCAGTCAGTCAGTAACTGTTTGTTGAGGGCATACTTTGTTTCCATACTGTACAAAGCTATCTCCAATCTCTCATTTAACCCACACAAGGAAACTACAAGATGGGCAGTTCTGTAAGGTAACAAAGAGTTGTCCCAGCTAAAGAGAAACATGGTTAATGGCCATCAGGAAAGGAACAATCAGTTCTTTTCATAAAATAAACTGGATCCTGATTGCTCTTCCAGCATTAACAAGGTAAATTTTTATTGCATGTCAACAATCACCACTTAAAATGGTGAATCACTAAAATGGAAAAGGGCCTAAAGAGAAAAGATATATTTTATCCTAAAAACCGTATAAGGCTGGTTATTTAGGTTAGGCCACCCTGCACGTTGCAAATACAATCTACATCCAAGTGCCATTTAATCTCCTTCGGTTCCCCATAAAGACTCTCGGCTCGGCAATATCTCACTGTTTGGAGTTCCCCACATGCACCATATTGCTTTACTCCTCTGAGCCTTTGTGTCATCTGTTCTCTCTTTCTGGAATGTCCTCTGCTCTTTTCTGCCTGATGGACTCCAAGTTGATCTTTAAAAACCTTCTCTTGGAAGGCTTCCCTGACATCCCTACTCCTTCCCACACCCACAGAGTTAATTAATCACTCTGTGAGCTGGGTCAAGGGAGGGAATATGTCCTATTTAA